TCCTTATAGCCTCTTCAGAGCCTCTTCAGCTGCCCTGAAACAAGAAGCAAAAATAAAGTTGAATCAACAAACAGGAAAGCAACCGTTTCAGCGGCAAGAACAATCCCATCGTTCCAGTAGACTCACTCCCTCAACACACCACAGCAGCGCCCTCCGACAACACAAATGGAGCAAAAAAAGACAGAAACAGGCAAGGAGGGGACTACAGGAACACACAATGATGACGTTGCAGGTTCTACCTACTTATTGGTCTACACAAACCCACACACAAGACCGTCAATTCGTCCCTAAAGTCCCCGTCAATCAATCACAGATCTTGTAGCTACGAATGCATTGCCCCCACGAACGCCAGCCATGCCACCGCACGAAAAATACAAAAATCCCGACACAACCAAGTCCAGTCCCCCAAAGCATAATACGGCCCATCCTCCCGCTCCTTCCATCGCTCTTGTGCCAGGAAACGCGCCTCACCACGCCTCTCACAAAGTCCTCACCTTTCATACATTGTCGTCCGCCATATTTCAACAAGTCGGCCCAAACTCGTCACTCCATTCCCAAAAACCCCTCCTTTACATGAGTCTGTTCATCCTTCAAACTCAACCACACCTGTCCCAGGCGGCGCCACCACTGTCTCTGCCCGCGGCCGCCCTTGTTCAGGATCAACAGCATCCATGAGACTATGGTCTTGTTCTTTAGAAGTCCCCGCCCCGGCATCCAATCCCTCCAACAAGTCACGATCGGAGCTCTTGACAGATCGATCATCTCCGCTCGGACCCCCAGGGTCCTTTCTAGCGCCGACCGCTATACCAATGTCGTCATCATCCTCCTCCTCTTCATCAGGTCGTTGGCCAGGCACAGCATTCTTCTCGAGCTCCTTCTGGGCTTCTTCCATCCGGCGGCGTACTTCGGTCGCCACGCGCATGCCGTCCGTCACGATGTGGTCTAGAACACCGCGTAGGCCTCTTCCTGCACCGTGGGGGCCGGGTTGGATGGGAATTGGTGGCCGGGAGCTGAAGCCGAGGCTGGCGAATGTAGTCAGCGATGAGCTCTGTGGTGTGGATGAGGCGCTATGGAGGCCTTGTATTAGGTGGAATGAGGAGGGGAAAGATGATTCAAAGAACTGCTCCAACAACTCGTCTGCGAGAACCACCATGCGGAATGTCGGCAAGGTTATGTGCATTGGCTGAGCTGGGTTGAGGGCCGCGTTGGCGGCTACTGACTTGGCCTCGGACACCCGACGTCGGATGTCTGTGCCAGGGCCATCGGTTTGGGACTCCCCCGGAGACTTTGTCTGCGCGTCCGTCTGTGGGGAGTTTGTTAAAGGGACTGCCGGTGTCTTTTTCGACTTGGAGGCTTTGGAAGGAGATTCTGAAGCTGGCTCGAAATCCAGGAGGTCCTGCTCGCCTTCTTCCTCTTCGTCGTCATCTTGACCAATGGTAAAGGCGTTTGCGTCTGCATCTGTGACTCCGTCAACATCCCCCATGGATGGTGGCGTATCTTGAAAATTAAGATTGCCTTGCGGATTATCCGGATCGGCGTATTCAAAACATCGACGGATAAAGGCGCTGACACTACCTAGGAATCTCTCATTCACTGGTACGCTGGGCGGCAAGGTTGGCTGGGAGTCCTGAGGATTGCCTGTGTCATTTTGGAGAGCCACACTCGATGCATTCGGGCTGAGACTTCCTTCGAGACCACGACGGGACAGGAACAGCAACGCCTCCGACATGCGAAGAATGCCTTCTCGGTCTACCTTTCCGTCGCCATCGTCGTCGTAAAGCTCGAAAAAGTAAGTAATGGTACCCATAATATCTCCTTTACCCTTAATACCTGCCAACCCAGTGACGACCTCCTGCAGACTCAGAGCCGCGTTGCCATCCACATCCCACTTCTTATACAATCGCTGGAGGAACTCGTGCTCTGCAGGTTCTGGGCCAGATCCCCATGGTGAAGTATTGCCTGTAGTCCGTCTCGCGTTGTTGAATCTCGAGAATCTGTCGTCCCCAGACCCGGCGTTATTCCGTGAGTTTCCAGGCGAATCGGAAATGGCCCATTTGCACATGCTGGCCAAGAACTCTCTGAATGCGTCGTAATCCATCCGGTTCGTACTGGGGCCGAGTCCAACACGACCCCTCTCTACGAGATTGGGTATTGATGCGAATATCTCCGACGCTCGCTGCCTACTCGTTTTTGCTCGTCTCTTGGTTTCTTCCTGAATCATCAGGTCGCGTTGCTGTCTCTCGTATAGAATGCTATAAAACCTGTCGTAGAGTGCACCAAGCTCCTCACTTCCAAGTAGCTTGCTGTCGGGCCCAAGGTTTCGAATCGCGGTCCTCTTGGCAAAATTTTCAATGTTGTTCAAAACAGCATCTTTCTTCTTTAAGCGTAGTTCTGTAATGCTGCTGTGAGTGATACCTGCGAACTCTTTGAAAGCAACCACCATGAGTTCCTGAAACCTGGTCACCGCTCGAAGCTTGGGATTTTCTGACTTGGGATGGGCCGACTCGTCCAGTCTCGCAAAATACGACTTCAGGACAGAGATGAAGGCCCCATCATCAGCAGCGTCCAACAGATCTTCGCCATTGATGCGAAGGATAGCCAAGCCAACTTGGAACAACACCTTTGGGCCTTCAACAAAGAAGACGTCCAGCACTCGAAAAGCAAAGATCAATGGCATGGAGTTGATGTACAATGACAAAAACCAGGGCAGTGAGACGACTGATAATTGAATATCGCTCTTGACCAAGTGCTCCCACAAAATGGGCATGGTTCTTTCAACCAATGATTCGAACACCTTTTGGTCCAGCAAGGTTCCGTACATGGTGGTTGAATAGTAGCCAGGAACAAGCCGATCACAAAGAGACGACAGGAGAAAGAATGCTTGCGCTTCCGACATGTAGATCAGAAGAGCTGCCACAACAATATTCATGGCTTGGCAGTATCCGACATCCGGGTTAACCCAGCTGTATGCGGTCAAAACCCGGCGGAGTCGACTGATGCCTTCTTCGCTCTGAAAACCAGGGTACTCTGGCAAGCTTCTATTCAGATCCTTCTCAATCTCGTCAATGGCAAGTGATTCCTGTCCTTCAAACTTGGCCAAAGTATCGGTGAAAAGACTCGGATTCTCCAATCGCAAGTAAAGAGAGCCCGAGGTAAGCTCCCAAATCTCCCCCCGTAAACGGTTAGGCAAACCAACCCGTATTAGTTTATGAAACGTCGGTTGGCGGATCAAGGTCGCGTTCCTGCCATTATCTCGAAGATACTCGGCCCAGAGCCGCACTTTCGCTCTGTCTCGTAGCTTTTTCGGATCGCCCGGGTATCTGAAAATCATTCCCAGCCCAGCGTCGGGCGGGTTGGCATTCTTTCTGTCTTCGGATCGAAGCAGATGCTCAGAGTAGCATTCTGCGACAACTTTTCGCAGTTTGCCCACATTACCTACACCAGCTCTCAACCCCCTCTTCAGGCCGTCGCAGAATCGTTCGCAATCGGGGCGGGCGCCGGACAAGTGAATCGTGAACCGCTGTTCCCGGGTTTCTTTTGCATCTTTGCCTCCGTCTTTTTCTTTCACATTGTTGTTGGCTAATAATCCGTTCCACGTCGTGATGGCAAGCGCAAACTAAGAGAGGAGAGAGTTAGTCCAAAAATCAGAACCAGCTGCTACGTTACAGCGCAGTTTTTTGGGGCCTGTGCATGTCACCCAATCAAGATGGGGGAGTACTTCTCATTGGTAAATTTACCTGGAAATTTTGACTGTTCAACCTCTCGACCCTTCTTATAGCGCACAAGGGAACCGTGAAGCCATTCCCACACGGACCAGCGCCATCGGTCTGTCCTGTAAAAGCCAAGGATGTCGAGGTACTAGCGGTTTGGGCAAAGCTTGATGGCGTAGTTGAAAAGCACATGTAAGCTTCGGAAAGGTGAATCTTGCCGGCGTAATGCCATCCTCTATCATGGTCCTTGTCGCCCTGTGTTGCGTTGGAAGGCGGGATGGTGAGCTCGGCGTTGATCTCACATAGGGGGTTTTGAGAGGCGGGCAGGCGAAACTGATTTTGGAAAAGCGATGCTTTGGAAGGATTCTTATCGGAGCTGGACAGGTTCAAGCCTTGGGTCGGATCAATCAGCTGCTGGGCCTTTTGCACGATGCTGGCGAAATTGGAAAACATGGTCGCAATTCACCAGCGCCGCATGGCGGTGTCAAAGGAAGCGAGCAATCTGTATCTGCATGTATGACGAGCAGGGGGCAGCGAGGAGGAGACTGTGTGACGAAGCGAGAGGAGGTGCAGCGTCTAATTGCGTCTACGAAGCCGACAGCCTGGTCCAGACAATTGTTGAGTTGTTGTCGTCAAGAGTGAGGTGGATAGGATGTTTGGCGGCAGGAATGTACGAGCTGGTGCGTTGGCATGAGGTTGGGACGTCTTGAGGTGACGGCGAAGGCCTGGCGTGGAACGTCAGTGGATGCGCTCAAGGCCAGGGCTAGGGCGGAGCTCATTGGTCCGCATGCTAGCTTCGCAAGTCGCAAGCCTGGTGGCGCATCATCCGCCACAGGGGTCGACGCCACAGGGTGATTCACACTCCGTATGCTCCGTAGGTACTCCGGATGTACCTACATAAATGCTCTCCTCTTTCTTTCGATGCAATGCTTGTAATGCTTTCCTTTCCTGATAGTTCGCATTTCCGTCAAAGGCTTCAGGCGTTGCGCCGCCTAAATTATGTGCTACGAGCCAAGTGGTCCTTGTAACGGGAGCCGGAGGGTGCTCTCGTAGCGATTAGACTATGACATCATAAGGTTCTTGGGTTCTCTCCAAGGCCGCATGAGAGCTGATGCAAAAATTGCTGAGACACGTTTTATACTAGAGGCTGTACGGAATATAGACTTCGAATTGAAATCGCTCTCTGTATCAGTGTTACCATGCTTCTTTCTGCGTGCTTTTGACAAAAAAGAAAAAACAGATGACAATACTTGCCTGAGTTGCTGAACTCATGTAAAAAGATGAGGATGTCTCCGATGCGGGGAATCGAACCCCGGTCCCTGCGGAATCTTTCTTATGAAAGCGCAGTATGATAGCCATTACACCACACCGGATGTTGGATGCTCAAGCTCCAGCTTAGTTAAACTATAAAGAATGCGCATGCTCTGAAGGCTCAGAAGTCAGAACAGAGTTGCTTCACGATCGTGTGGCTCCAACACCAGACTCTTTGGAAAGAGATTTTGTAAAAGTGCAAAGTCTGCTAGACAGCTTCTAAGTTCCGGATGGGCAGCATAATTCCGCCAGCTGGCTAGCTGAGTTCGTTTTCTCCATCCTCTCTACCCCTCCATCCTTCATTCCTTCCCTTTCCTCCCCCTCATGCATGCGACCCCATTATGCCTTGTTGCGTCATCAGGCGGCGGACAATGGCCTCGCGATGCCTTGCCATCCGCTCATCCATGTGCTCCAAATGCGACTCTTTGGATTGGGAGGATCATGGTCCAATTGATAGTCTATTCACAGCAATAGAAAAAAGTATCTACCTGCCGCAGCATTGGCAGCATTCGCGTACTCGACGTCACCAATCCGTCATCCCATCTAAGCCTGTCTAGTCCCGCTCCAGACGCCTCATTTCTCAATCGCCGCACTTGACCGTCTCCCCGGACCCCAGCCCGTCATCTTTCGTGCCAAACGGTCTGCTGTCGCCCGGCTCCAACAAAACCGTTGCAAAAACCGTTGGCATCAGAACTAGGTAGCTCGCTTTCCACGCTACTCCCGTTTTCCTTTCACTTCTGAGCGTCGAACTTTCCTTACGCGCATTCCTTGATTGCTCAAAAGCCCAGCACGAGCCACGGACCGAGCCTGGAACCTTGACAAAGCTCGGAAAAGGCGTCGCGATCCCAATTGAAACCGACGAGCCACGACACAGCGCGATTTAAGGACTTCTGCCTTGTCAACGAAACCGAAATCCTCCTCTCCGACCCGCTTCTTGGCGACCGCCCCCCTCCGCACCTCGGAGAGTTTGGGACTCGGCTGCGAGTGGTTGACCTGCTTCTTGCTCGGCCTGCGTCATCCATAAGCAAGATCCCATCAGCAGGAAGCTATACACTGGGCATTTACAGAGTACTGGTTCAACAATCCGTCACGTCCGCAGGATTCACCGAAGCAACGGCGCAGTTCATCCCTTGTCTGCCCCCAAGTTGACAAAAAGTTGGTAGCTCGCCTTTGCAGCAAGCACGCATCAACACCAGCGTCGCAGCCGCTATTACAAACATCCCCCCCCATTTCGCCCATGTGCCAGCCGTCTCGACGTCCAACGTGGCCATGAGCTGAATCTTTCTCAGATAGCACAAATTCAGGGCCGCTTCAATGAAAAGGATAGCGCTCGTGTCAACACCTGATTTTCCATTCAGTCCTCCCAAACGGTGAAGCACATCTGCGACGAAGACGGTCGATTTTGCAACCTGTCCAGATACGACTCTCAGGTAAACCTCAATCATGCTTCTCATGCTGTTGCTTTGCATAACACCAAGGTGTTTCTTGGATCTTTCGATCCGTCGCTTACCTCAACAACGAATCCGCCAGGCCATCACTCAGCGCAACGAGGTCATACTATTCGAACCGACCTGACATTCGACGGCATGGCTGCTACTGTGGCTCAACCGCCGGCGCCGGCGGCATTGTCTTCTTCGAGGAGTGTAAATGCGCCGGCGGCTTCTGGGTCTCACGTGGCGCACGACCAGCGTCACCATCGACACAATCACTTTCAACCGCAAGCCGCCCCAACAAATTGCCCGCGCGTTGGGGCGTTGCCAAAGACGCAAAAGCTTGACCCTGATCACTTCAAAGTGGTTCGCACTCTTGGAACAGGTTGGCAATTTTCCTTTTCCCAGCAGGAGAGGGGAGCAATTGGATGTCAAAGAGGGTGAGGGCTTTCACAAAGAAGGCTAAGACGCCAGCGCAAGCGCAGCGAACTATTCTGAGATGGAACGCTCTTCTGATATCGAATATTGCTAATTTAATCTTTCTTCGTCGCAGGCACGTTCGCACGAGTCTGTCTAGTTCGCCCATCAAATGCTCCCGACATCCCTCTAGAGCAAGAAAATAGAGGCAATACCGAGGTATACGCGCTCAAGATATTACGCAAGACCGAAGTCATCAGATTGAAGCAAGTCGACCATGTCCGTCACGAGAGATCTATCCTGGCCGATGTAGCAGGCCACCCCTTCATCACCAGCCTCCTTGCCTCGTTCTCCGACCACGATTGTCTTTACATGCTCCTCGACTACGTCCCCGGGGGCGAGCTCTTCAGCTACCTCCGAAAGCTCCGTCGTTTTGAGGAGTCCACCGCCTGCTTCTACGCAGCCGAGATCGTGCTCGTCTTGGAATATCTCCACGAGCACCAAGGGGGCGTGGCATACCGAGATCTCAAGCCTGAAAACCTCTTGCTGGACAAGGACGGCCACATTAAGCTGGTAGATTTTGGTTTCGCCAAGCGCCTCGGCTATAAAGACGATCACCCAGTTGAGACGTACACTCTCTGTGGTACGCCAGAGTATCTTGCTCCAGAGGTCATTCAGAATAAGGGACACACCACGGCGGTGGACTGGTGGGCATTAGGGATTCTGATATACGAGTTCCTCACGGGGTATCCGCCTTTTTGGCATCAAAATCCTATTGAGATTTACAAACAGTAAGTTGACGTGACCAGAGAGTGCAGAATCGTAAAAACGAGAAAGCAAGAGGGAAAAGGAGCAGAAGTGGAGAGACAGGACAGTAAACAGGAGAGAGTGAGACGACATGAGAGAAGAGAAGAGCAAAGAAGAGGAAAATATAAACTCATTCGGAGGACGTGGCACAATAACGTCCATATGCTGACCTTGGATCTTCTACTAGAATCATAGGCAAATCCCTGACATTCCCCCAAGATCCACCCATATCAGAGCATGCCAAAGACATCGTCCGCTCCTTCTGCACCGTCGACCGATCCCGCCGCCTCGGCAACCTCAGCGGCGGCGCCAGCCGCGTCAAAGCCCACCCATTCTTCCAATCCATCAACTGGGACGACCTGCTCAGCCGGCGGCGGCAAGGGCCCATTGTTCCGCCGGTACGATATCCAGGCGACGCGCAGTGCTTTGAGACGTACTCGGAAGAGGATGGGAAGAGGGATGCTTACACGAGTGATATGGCGCAAAAGTATGATCAGTATTTTGCCGATTTTTGAGGAGGTGACACCGGGGAGGGAGGGGGAGGGGGAGATCTTGACATGAGCTATTGGAACTTATTATTTGGATGACTTGGTTTGGAGTAAGAGGAGGAGAGCCCGTTTATGAGTTTCTTGACTTCTTTAATATTTTGTATATACATACATGTGTTTGTGTGTTGGTTGGACATCCGTCGCAAATAGAGATAAGTAGAGTCTCAACCTAGAAAAGGGCTCACACTACGTCTAGATGTCATTTCCGTTCTCAAAGTGTTGTGTTCTCGGATTCTCGCACCCACTAGATGAAGTGGAAGCCCTTTTCTAGGCTGCACCCACGAGTAGCTACAGTTAATAATACAACTCTACACCCACCAAGACGACGATTTTGTATCGCCGCAGGTAACAGGTAACATTGTCTGTCGTCCAGTCACAAGAGTACCTCAGGACATTCGAGACCACTCCGCGCTCCTGAGTCCTGACGGAGACTTGCTTCGAATTGGCCAGCTAATACAGCTCACAGCGGGAACTACATATAATCTATGTACGTATGAACAAGACAAGCCCATTTTTTTTTTTCAATCCTCGCATGCTCTTCCTGCCAGGATCGGGTGCCTGAACCTGCTGCACCCATGCCGACTTCTACGCAACTTTGAACTCCTCCATCGGATGAGTGGTCAAGAAAGGAACCTTGGTCTCATCTTGGAACAGATGAATAGCGAATGAATCTCTCACTTTTTTTTTTTCATTCAGAATCAGATGTATATGAAATGAGGATCCTCACAACATCTTAATGTATTCACAGACCGGGGCAGAGAGGGGATCTTGCAGAATAGAAGGAGTTCGTATCAGCTTAAACTTAAAAGCATCATGAAAGCGACATGTGTATTCGCCCGTCGACACAAGCCTGCCGCCGTACCAGAATCCCAGGCAAACTACCTCGCGCGCACAAACGACATGAAAATAGTTCACTACCACGTATTCAGCCCATCATACTAACGTTAAAGTTATCTATGATCCAAAGAAAACAATGCATCTATGTAGTCTGGAGACACCACCAACCATGTATCCATTTCAAGTTGCCGCACTAATTAGTAATAACGCCCCATCCCCCTGTTCCAATCATCTCTGAAAAGAGAACAAGAAAGAATTGATAGTAAACAGTCCAATATGAAAGGTACACGGTACACCTATCGTGACCCCACCGTCTCTACACCAGTGACCAAGTACCTATCCCAAGTTCATCACTCGCTACCACCTCACCACCCAAACACAACACCCCAATAGTAAATACTCGGAAAAAAAAAAGAAGAAAAAAAAGAAAAAAAGAAAAAAAAAAAAACAAGAAAACCACCTCGCTTGTAGTAATAAAATGCAGTGACGCGAAGCTGTGCCAGTGCGCGCCAAAAATAGGCAAAACTGAAGGGGGGTCTGCGACGCAAGTCACGTGGTCTTGTG